TGTACGCGCCTGTACGCGCCTGTACGCGCCTGTACGCGCCTGTACGCTGCTTTTCCGGTATTAATATTAGATCTAATACAACTATAACTGAACTACAACTAAATGCAGTATAGAGTTAAACATCCCCGTTTCTTTGGTGTACCATCCAAGAAGCACTTCCTGCCAGTTGTGTTCTCCATCCTTCTTTATTCTCTCTCTCGGACGTGATGCATCTCACTTTTGTCATGGTCAACTGTGATGAAGGTTTTCTGTCCACTGCCTCTGATGCATTTTAGCAGTTGGTGCAAGTTATGTCATGTTCCAACAGCTTCCTTACGAAAGCAATATTCACTCCAATTGCAGCTGGTGATAGGTCTTTAATCAGCATATAATTAGCCTGGAATAACTGATGTGATGTCACCAACACTGAAGAATGAAAGCCACATCCTACAATACTGGTAAAGTTGTAGACAGAGAGATTAGACATTAGAGTGATTGCTGATAGCTCTACTGGCACTGTCTATGAATATGAAATTACAAAGGATCCGTATACAAACAAATCCTTTCCCAATATATACCAACATTGTCTTAGGTACCTCACTGAAGCGTACCTGAAAATGACAAACATTTGTTCAATATCAAGGCAGATGTCTCAAGCTTTCAGAGTATTGCTCTCACAAACAAATCCTTGTTGCTTGTTCTCCAGGCTTCCATCTGGCCACTTGCCCTTAAGGGAACCCATTCTGATGCCCACAATGTATACTGCAGTGGATTAAGTACAATGCAGATGCATATAGGCTTATAGGCCCATTCTGGACCTCTGTTATCATTCCCTACTATCAGGAAGGTCTACAGTACTCTTCCTTCCTCTATCAGGCCAGATCTAAACTTCCTACAATCTGTTAGTGCATCCCTCTTAACTCCTAAACGCAAATTCACCTCTCTCCTTCTTTCGCTACCCTTTTCAGTCGCAACAGGAAGCTGCAGGCTCTGCATCCCTCCCTCTCTGCCCATCTCCCTTTGATCAAGCACTGACTGTTGTAGAGGCTTCCAATTGGTTGCATGCGCACTCAATCCTTTAAAAGGATATGTAGGTCAAGTCAATGGGTCCTGATACAGTGGTAGGGAGTGGGTCCAGAAACCATCATCATTTTGTCTTTCTCCGTTGGGTGCAACCTGAGCAGACAGTGCCGGCCAGATGACACCTTCCCTTTCAGGCACAATCAGGGTGGATGATGCTGGCTGGACGCTATCACCTGAGCACCTGTAAGTTGCATCGCTTCCCTTTCCTTTCTTTTTTACCACCTCCCTAACTTTTGACCAATCTGTACCCAAGCCTTTCCCACAGTCCCCACCCCCTGGGTATTACCATGCTTGTTTTCCATCTCTAGAGAGGAGGCTAGCATCCCACTCCTCCTTCCCCAGCTCACTTCTCCCCCTGCCTCCGCAGGTGGTGTTAGATTACACAGAGAAAGATACAGCAGTTGCCATGGATATGGCGGGGGGACCGTATCCCCGTATCTGTATTTCAACGACCTTGGATTCCTGCACTCGGGCAGTTTTGCAAGATAAGAGCGCATACAGTTTAGCGCTGCCTTCTTGTTTGTCTGAAGCTGGAACTGAGGGGGGAGCTGAAGATGCAGATGAGGTGTTAGGTGCCATAGTTGAGTGCATATTTGTGGTGCTCTCTTCCTCAGGGGACCTGCAAGAAAATACGCTCCCCGTGCCATTTCTCCCAGTGTTAGTAGATTCCAACCCCATCATAATACACAGCACCTCAGGAATTTTGCCCTCCTCCCTGGCCGCTCTCAGAGCTCCGAGGATCAGCTCCCAAACTTTAAGCTCTGCAGCTTTTTGCTCCTCCATCACGTGCTGCGCAAGCATGGATGTAAACGAATCCCATCTAGGGGGGTCTAGAATGTCCTGAGGCAAGATTCCACTCCTTTTCCAGGCGAGTAAGTACAGCTGCAGTGTCCTTCTCAGAAGGAGCATTCTAGCCAAAATAGTCCTTACAGAATTGAAGGATTACCTTGATAACTTGCTCCATCACCAGCACAGCGCCGATGTCCTGATCCGCGAGCAACCTGCCGCCACGTCACAGGCTATCACCACTCCCAGCTATGGGGGTTGTGCGAAGACTCAATTTCTACCTACCTGAATATATCAGTGGTCCACAGTATAGGCATATGTAGCTACCACAACTATTTACTGCCTTTTCACTGCTGTTGAAATAAATCAAAATAAATCAATTTAGCAAATGGAATCCCTCCCACCTCTCAGTACTATCCACAAATTAAGAGGACACGAAGTATCAGGTGAGGCAAATTTTAGATTCTGAATGATTTCAGGGGCGGTTTCACTCTAATTCACTGTCAGCAATATAGAGCTGAATACTGCTGGGACCAGCAGACAGTATGCATGCTTCAACCAAGTTCAACCATACTACCTGAAGAATGCATATTCTAGAATGAACACCTCAATCTAATTTTGCCTTCAGTTTTGTCTCAGATAAAGTTAGCTATTCCAATCAAAAGAGAGTTCAGTCTTGAGCTCAATGAGTAAAGTGGACAACTGGTGAACCAGAACCAAACCAGAACATAAGAATCTTGGCAAAATAAATGCTCAGTATTGTACTATAGAAAGAGACAACCATTTTGATGAGCTTCATTTTTTCCTTAGAGAATTCACTGCTTCAAATACACCCTAGGTCAGCTGAAAAAAAAAAAAAAAAAAAAAAGCATAGCACAACTTCTAGCTTTCCATTTACAGACATATCACTGTCTTATTATTACTAACAGTCAGCAAAGGATTAAGTCATAATTCTGCAGATGAAGAAGGATTCATTGCAGTGTTTGCAAAAGCTGTGAAGGCATCCTAAGCATGACAGTTTAGAGAGTTCACATCCTCTGAGACCATAGCCTCAGGGAACATTGCTCTTTTCCTTTGACATTCAGTAAATATTCACAGGAGCCTGGACAAGGGGTGAAAACACATTCTATTTGCACTCAAGAAAAAAAAAAGTCATAAAAAAAAAAAAAAAAAAGAGAATCATAAATAGAATTGTTGACAACTTCTTACTGAAAATTCTCTATCTAAATATCATATTTGCATCTATTATCACTGCTTATTTTACTATGCAGCATATTTCCCATAGTTGGATTTAACGGTAAGGTTAATAATTCAATGGATATTTTCTTTCAGGTATTACTACCTACTTTGAACACATTAACATTCTGCAGGAACCAAACTGTTAATAGTAAATAAATATACACATATAGGAAAATTCACTGTTGCTCAGAAAGTTACCATTAAGTTCAACATTAAGCAAATTCTCCAGCCGTGACTTGGACTGCTGATTTGAATATTTATTCATTTTCTATAGTGTTGTAGCCTGATATACTTGCCTCCCTGCTCTAATGCCACAAAGTAAGTGAAGTTATACATATTTAATAAAACCAGAAATGCAGTCTTGTCCTACTTCATGCATCTCCCCCACCCCAGTAAGGACAACAGGAGAGTCACTATGGACTTTAAGTTGGAAAAACTTGAAAAAAAGTGATAATAAGTATTAATATCACAAACCTCCTACATAAGTTTACTTAGCTTGAGCTAAATCAAACAGGAACGTAACAGAATTTCTTAGCTTACACTAATATCATGCTCTTGACACTGATGTATTTTGCTAAGAAAACATAACAAGAAACTCTCTTGAAAGAAAGTAATCTTTGTTCTTTTTCTCCCTCTGTCCTAGCTATGACTTTCTGGACTCTTGCTATGTTGGATCTAGGTCTGATCTAGAACTTTTGTTTGTTTTCCAATATATTAACTGGCTGACCCTCATCAGTCACAATATGCATAAGCAATATGTGCATTCATAGGTCAGATGAATAGCTATGTTCCCTTAACATATCTTAATCTTTCATTTTAAACAAATGCTTGTGAAGAAAGTACAATTACATAAGATATATAGATGTTAAGGACGGAGATTCGAGTTGACCTATCAGCTTTATTCACAAATACTTTATGAATACCTACCACACCTTCAACCTACAAGCAATTCAAAGGATGCTGATTCACATGCATGAGACATTTTAACCAGCAAGATGGGAAACCAGGGAGAAATACATGTCAAGATGAGTGCTCTTGGTAATGCTACAGAGAATGAGAAAGGCAAATTGCATTTTTCTGGAGAATAATTCTTAGGGCTAGAGTAAATCGGCAGCTGTGGACTCTTCAGCCCTGGGTAGCCCATACATCAGACCTAAATGTTCCAAGAAATCAGAGATCTAGTTGTTAGAGATTATGTAAAAAAAAAAAAACCAGTAGATGAGAGAAAAATATTGTTATACTTACTTGAGTTAGCCATTTACAATTTGATGCATTGGAGAGACCCCTCTTGCTCCTCTTCTCCTGTTGTCTTGGTCTTCAGATCATGGATACAGCACCATCTCAAAGCATGATCTGAAAAAAAAGCACCAAGGTTTTCAAAAATAAATCTTTTATGAGGAAACGTGTACACATTTTAACATTAGTTATGGTAATAGCATATGTTCTCAAGTAATAGTAAGACCCTCCAAAAATACATACTGTCCACTACTGTTTATTATTTGCAGTTTAAATTATGATAAATTGTAGAGATCTACGCAAGTAGCATTAAGTGATCAAAACAAATATACTACAGATATGGTTAAGCTCTTTATAGAGGTCTGAAAATTATTTTGTAATGAATCTTTTGCATCTGTAGTTTAATAGGCTGAAATGAATTGTAGTCATTCTAGATCTATTCAACAGATTTTAATGAATTAATAGTCTAGAATATGTAATATCAAGGATTAGGCTGTGGAGAAAAAACACCCAGAAAAACCTATACAGGAGCATATGTAAATCACACCACAATTTTCAGAAAATTCATCTAGTTCTTTTGCAAAGTGTTACTAACGAACTTGTTGTGTACAGAGTGCTATACCTAGGTTCTACATCAATCATTTCAGCAACCTAAAAAGAAGAATCGTTGTGCTATAAAACTAAAGTTCTAGCATAAGGTGCCTATTTCAATAAAGAACTGGGAGAGAAAATTGAACCAAAAATGTTACCAATTTGAATTCAGCATCTTCTTCATGCCACAATGGATATGCTCAGGTCTCAGGCTGGAAAAAGTGGTACTGACTGGTGCAATAGCATAATCTGAATTCAGATTTAAGAGTACTCCAACTGAAATGCTAGAAGAAAAAGAAGAGACCCAACACTTTTGGGGAGCAGGTATAGACAGAGGTCTAGTGTTTTAATATCCTCACTGCTACAATAGAGCAACTACTTCAGCTACTTTCTGGCCTGTGTTTTCCAAATGGCAGCTTTCAGCATTGAGATCCTGCAATTTCTTAAACAAAGAAAATAATTTTCCCTTTGTATATCAGTAAGGACCACGATCAAGAAAACTATTAAGCTTCTGCTTATTAAATACAGAGTTAAAAAGACATCTTGCAATACAGGCTTTCCAGATCTTTAGTCATTCTCATCTCTTCTTTCCTTATCTAGATCCCATGTATTAACATTCTTCTGCTTTGACATCATCACTGTGCTCAGCATTTGCTTCAGTGCCAATTCCTGTCTTCCATCTCTTCAGATTTCCATGTTTATTGATCTCACTATTACATTATTCCTTTGTGATGATCACTGCACTTAGAACTATAGTCATACTTCTGATGAAATCAATTGCCCTAGAATGACAAAAACAGCAATTTTTTTTTTTTTTTAAATTAAATATTTAGCTACCTTCAATAGAGGTTCAAATAAAGTAATATTGAAGACTATTCCTTAATTATTTTTTAAAGGAAGCAGATGATTTGTCTGCCTCTTGAAATTTATTAAGGGTAGCTATAACTACTTTTTAAGGGTAGCTATAACTACTTTTTCTGAATTATGAAAAAAAATCAACTAAAACTAAGCTGGATTTTATCACCATGATCACTGTTAAACTCAGAACCTACCTCTTTTAAAATAAATATGCACATAAGGAGAGAACAGTGTTACCTTAGTTATGTATGCAAAGCAGTCCAGAGTTCATGTACAACTTCTGTGAAGGAAACAATGTTATTATGAGACCTGTCTTAAGAAGCATACTTATACAGATAAAGAGATGTCAGATGAGTATATCTGCCAAAAGCAGTATTATAATTAAATGAAGTTTTTGACTGTTTGAGCTAAGTTTTTCATAATAGAACACACAATGTTAGACAAAAAAAGCCTGGAACAAATGAAGAGGGGAAGGAGAAGGATCTTCAGGAATAGAAGAGAAGCAGGAACCAGGACTATATTCTTATGTGGAATTAGGTGAAGGCAGTGTAGTATGTACTGTCTTCTGGGTCTTTGTCTTTTTACTCATTCTGACTGAAGTCATCCAGAGCTCAGGCTCAGCAACTTTGAAATAAGACTTGTTTTCCCTCAGTGTAGTTAACTTCGTCTGGAACTGATGTCAATCAGTAGACTTAATATTTCAGTCTTAAGATTTCATTATTAGCTTTAATACTTTAAACATGCAAGTGATATTCAATAAAACAGGATAAAACCAGTGATGTGTCAGAACAAAGTCATTCATATCTCTTGTAAGTATCAGCACTCAGTTTCTTCTCACTGTTTTGTTTTAGTACCACAAAATTTCACATTCTCCTGACAAAGTGCAATCACTACATTTAACAGTGAGTTCTCATTTTAATTATCCTGTAGAATCAGAATTGCTATAAAAAAAAACACATGTAATTCAAAAGAGTTTATCTGATATGTTCATGAACATATCGTAATTTTAACAACAAAAATAAACATAAAAAAACAAAGTAATTATTAAACATTGAAGGTGTGCTTACTGCTGTTCTGAATTCCTTTGTGCATATTTAAATCTTCCATAAACTTAGAAAGTGATTTACTAGTGTAATTTACTCTTTGGAGATGGACCACCTTCACAAGCTTAAAATTCAGACAAGGTCAGAGTGATATTTTGTTCCAGTTTACATTTTCAGCCTATATAAACCAACTACCAATTTCCCAGAAGAGAAGTAAGGGCCCTTTAGTTTCTAGGGCTTCATCGGTCTCAGTTATAAAGACAGGTACTCAGCTCAGCGTAAAAACTCCATTGCTTGGAGGACCTACAGAAAAAGAAAAGAGCTTTAAGGCCACAGGGAATGTCCAGGTGCCTCCAAAATGCACACATCTCACCAAAAGAATACCAGGCAACAGAAAGAGGGTTTTTAGGATCATGGCTTCTCAATTAGAAAAGTGAAGTCTGTTTTATTTTCCTGCTAGGCATCTGAATGCATTCTGGATCCTTTTCCAATTGTCTACTTTGCTTAGCAGCACCCTAATCGCTATGAGACTTATATCAATATGACATATTCCACCATTTTACATCAGTCTTTTACTTAGCACCGCTGGAAAAAATAAGTCCAGGTTGTCAGAATTAGACTGTTGCAGCATTCAGGTGTATCTCCACATGATTAACAGATAAGACAAACAATACACTATGAAGAATATGCTTCTTGAGTTTAACCCCCCCCCGGTGTCTAAGAAGCAGGTAATATATTTGGATGTACAAGATGTTTACGTTTGTATTCTTGTTTTTTTTTTTTTGACATATGATATTCCTAGAGTAAGTTTTGACTGCAAACACTATCCTGTATTTGTCCCTATTATCTGATATTAAAAATTCAGGACTGTGTAATCTGTTTTATGTCATGCAGTAGGAAATTTGGAATTGTATTTATTCAGTAGCTGTGAAAGAATAAGCTGTTTATTAATCTTGTCTCCTAAAACTCTAGAAATTTCAGTTCTATGTCACTTCCTGCATAACTCAGTTCTGTAAGAACTTTTTGCACTTCTGCTTTTTAAAAGCAAGTACTCACTGGGCATAAACAAATATGCTCAATCAAGTATTAGGCCACTTCTTTAAAAAAAAAAAAAAAAAAAAAAAAAGAATTCATTGATCCAGCAATGTGTAAGGACATCCATTGCCAGTGAAGTATTAGAAAGAGCTTTAGGGCAACAGTTACTGCATGTAATACAAGCTCTGCCATACAAATTCTGCTATTCTGTGAAGTGCTCTCATCAGTTTCAAGTTTCACAAAGTTACAGTATGCTCCACCTCTCCCTCATCTCCTAAGATGCAGCAGCATACTATTTTATGATGGGTTACAAGCATTTAAAAGCTACTGTTTACATTAGCATTCTTTAAGCCATTTTGTAATGCAATAAAGTGATAGAATGCATAGCAATACTAGCAGAGTAGCACAATCCTAGGTTGCAGCAAATGAGAATAAGCCCAGATGAAGCAGCTGTAGGTACAAAAACAGAGGAAGAAATACTTACCTTTGGAAGGCCTCAGATATGCAGACATCTCCAGAGAGATATCCTCTGCCTCCACTGCCAACCCTTAAATAAGGTCTGGGAAGGGGTGGATCCTGGCTCCACCTCTTCTGGTCACACAGGTGCATTGCATCGTATGAAATCACCTGGGTTGGCCCTGCCTTCCCACCAGGAGTTCAATCACTGGTTCAGGCCATGACTTAGCATGTCTGTTTCACATTTCTTTGGTCCTCCTGGCAGGCATCCTTCTAAAAAGCACTCACCAGCAATTATTGTATAAATCTGGAAAGCAGAAAGGTATAATTAGCTGGGTGGAACATAAGCAATCACAGGAACAAAGATAATCAAAGCAAATACTTTGATCTACTGTATCTTCAGTTATTGGTCTTACAAACTACTACGGAGAAAAGAATGTGATAGTGAACAGTGTTGATTCTTTAGTTCTGAACTATAGAAAGAAAAGAACTAAGTGTAAAGAAAAAATGGATACCTTTTTTATTAGTGAGATTAAATTTAAAACTTTGTAATGGTTTGAATTCATCATGTTGTTTCATGAGAAAGCTTTCATTTTAAGGGTATATAACTATACACCTAAATATGCCTTCTCTCTTACAGTTCTTTTAGCAGACATCAAAATAATAGTTATATTTGGTTATCTGCCAGAGGCGTACTAATAATGTAGTACTTCTCTTCCCTACTATACAGTTAATCAATAGTAGATCTATGTTTGCTGCTGAAACAAAGAACTTTAATATTACAAAGAGTTTGAGAGAAAAAAAAAATTAAAAATCCCCTTTTTTTTTTTTTTTTTGGTCAAAGACATACTAGGAATGAAATCAAAGCACTTTAACTAGTGCTATCCTCCCAGTGCAAATGTCAACATTTTCTCACATGAATCATAATGTACAGAGATGTGTTTAATGACCCAAAGTTCCTCTGAGATATGAATATCAAGATAGGTTGTTTTTGGCCTTTTGGAAAGCCAACCAACAGAAAGAAAGTGATGAAACCTTTTTGATTACTGTACAGCTGCTGATGGATGATCTTAATATCTTCTGTTGCTAGGTATGTTTCATGCATCACCAGGAGAGAGTTTTATTTTTATAGCAAGAATATCTAAAAACCAGAGCTAGCTGCTGAAAACAGATAATTTGTGCAAGTTAATAATAATCATCATCATCATCATCTGATTTTTTTTTTTTTTTCCCCACTAAAGAGAGAAGGGAGACTACTAACAAAGTGGATGAAAAGTATAATTCAGATGCAAATGAAGCTAACATTTTTTAATCCGGTTTGGGTCAACTGATTGGTGTTCATATTTGTTTCTTTTCCATTGTTCTTATGGTTCTTTTAAGGTGTTGGATAAGATGGTAAGTAATAGAATATATGTATTCAGTTTTGTTTTCAGTAAGCAACTAGCAAGGATGAGTTGTTTTGACAAACTGTAAATAATGCTTTAGGCTCTGTTATAAAAACAGTAGATCAAGTTCACAGACAAGACAAACATGTAACTCCCTTTGATTTCAGTAAGTTGCATTTAGTTTCATGATCTGAGATGGTGTATTTTTTGGGGGGGGTAGAGGGGTGAAGGGGAAGGAGGGCTTCATTGTATTTATCATGACTACTCCAAACTCTTTAAAGATCAGGACAAATGCACAAAAATAACAATGAAAATAAGAAAAGACTAATCAAATCTTTTAAAATTTTAAGAAGCACTCTTGTTTTGAGTCAATTCTTGTTTTAGATAAGCCTCTTTACTCATCCCTGTGGCACAGTGAAGCATTAAGCTACATTTAAATGTAAATAACTTCTGAGGTGGATTCAATTTACTTCAGTAAACAACAAGCACATGATGCATAATAAATGCAACAATACACCAAGCACCAAATTCAGAATTCTTAGCCTCCTAATTACATACAGTTCTTACATGTGATAGTTTCCTTTTTTGATGTTTTTGTATCCAAGTATGTTCAATCTATTTTTAATAAAAAAATGAGATTACTTCTGAACTTCAAATGTAAGAAGGAAATAAGGTAATATAAACACAATCTACAGGTAGTAAGAGTCAAGAATATCTACACAAATTATTCAGAAATACAGATACATTCCAGAAGCATGGGAAGGGCTTTGGATTTATCTTTGCTGATCTAAGTTCATCAATAGAATACATTATGCCATATTTGTCTTTCTGAAACTTCTGACTGGTATATAAGTGAATCATTTTCAAATTTAGGCCTCTCTGATAAGACTCCTGACTTCATATTGAAAGTACAATTATAGTTTACTTTGTTTACTTCTGAAAAGGAGAAATGTATTAGTCATTCACTGCCTGGAACAGATGGTGACTCACACTCACCAAGCGTGGGAGACAGAGTTGCTACTGTGGGTCGCAGATTTTGGGCATATGAATTGATAACATCTTGACTTATGAATATTTTTTTAGTCCATTGGAGTGAAATGCAGAAGAGATAAAAGGAAATTTACAGCATTATGAAATGAAATTGCCATTCTGGATCTACTTGAATGGCTTGCTTACTGTTGAACAAGGAGAAACATACCGTAAACAGAATTGTTTCCTGCTGGTTGACAAATTTCTGAAAATCTAAGGAATCTATGACTTAAGCAATTTTGTCTCCAATAACTTTCTCTATTGCTGGATAACAATGACATGATGTAAAATTTCTTAAAATAATTAATAGCAACCTGATAGTGCCACCAA